ATATAAATGAATGAACCAATCCTTAAGGAATGATATGTAATGAGAAGCCTGGAATCCTCGGCAGGCATCAGGAACCAAATGCAGTAACAGGAACAAGGAAGAAATTCTGTCCTTAGAAAAACTAATTATTCTAAAAATTTTAATCTGCCAATCAGTTTAGTCCTTTGTGTGGTAAAACTGACAGTAATCTAATATCTATTGAATTAGATTGTTCTAGAAGTTTATAAAAACTGATGGTGATGAGAACTGTATATATGAAAAATAATACTTGAATGCTTTAAAAGTCACTGAAGACCTGTCTCTTCCATAAAGATCTTCTGGACATTTATAGTCATTCTGAGATATATGATGAATAATCCTTTCCTGATACTTATTTATTACCATCTTTATTTATATTTATATGTATTTCTGTTACTGACATACACCAAAAATTATATATTTGTATTTGGACTCCCAATTTTTATCATATAGCTTTAAATCCTATAATTTTATCATTCCATATTAGTTTTTTATTGTAATTCATTCTTGTCTTCCATGAATATTTCTAGCACCTCTAATAACATTTCCACATATTAACCACATACATAAAGCACCCCACTTTGGGATGATCCAAAAATAGCCACGACCACTTCAAAGAGTTACTGCCTGATCAGGAAAACACACTTTGGGTTAGGAAGGCAATAATGCAATGTAGAATATGTTTATGTTAACATAGAGGAATATAGGAAATATTCTGTATATTCAGAAGGCAACATGATTCCTTGTATTGAGATAAGCAGGAAATAAAGTGGCTTCTGATTTATAGTTTAAAAGAAAATAACAAGAATCTGGTCATGTAGAAATATTTAAAATTTAGGTACCAAACAGATAAAACAGAAGCAACCCTAAGCTTAGACATGTAGATGCTGGGACAGCAAATAATTTGGTTTACGAATTAGGTCTTAATAAAGGGAGAGTAAGGGGATTGAGTGCAGCAACTCAGAATGGGTGAGATTTTAAAACTTCTTGAGTATGAAGATAAGAAATCTGGATTTATTTGAAGGTCAGCAGATAGCCACGTGTTAGCTCTTCGTGCTTCTGCTGACTCTTTAGAGCTACCTGCTTTTTTGAGGGTAAAACTATAATTTTATACCCTCCATGAAGTTTGCACATAGCACTCATGTACTTGGGATCCAATAATTCTGACCTTCCTCCAGTGATGTAGCTAAAATGGCTGGGGTCTTAAGGATACCAAGCCCAAAGCTAGCACACAGTATTAAGCAATAATTGTCAGGTCAAACCTCCAGTAGTTGGTATGCCTGCCAAAGATTTATCTAAATATATCCAGCCACTTTGCCCTACAAGTTAGCTTAGAAATCTTGATAGAGCAGGCTCTCTGGAAGATTGTTATTTCCTTTCTGACTTGCACAAAGCAGAATTTACTCTGAGAATGGCCTTTCACCTAGTATCTTGATATATCTACTTCTGAAACTAGGAAGTCTGTGACATGTAGAAATATGTTTTTCCCTTAAATGACAGTATGGCATTATTTAAAAATCAGAACAAAACAACTAAGTAGCCTTGCTCTTTATTTCTTATTTTATCTCTTCATCCATTCAATGTTAATTGAATATCTGCATATACATTTAAGTGACAGGAGTACCACAAAGAATATGTTGGCCTCCAGGAGCTCCAGTCTGATGGACAGTAGACAGGATGAAACAGTTATAATAAATTGCAAGCAGTGCCGAAACAGATATGAAATCCTTGCCAAAAGCCCAAAGAAAGTAGTTCCTACTTCTCACTGCATTTTGTATTTTAGAGAATGCTGATCCAATGCCTTTTAATTTTTTCCCTTTTTTTTCTTTTCTTAATGATAATAGTAAACAGGTCAAAGCAATTCATTCGTATAAACTCCCTAATCTCTGAGTTCGTAGGGCAACAGCAATAACCATGCAGGTTCAAAACCCTTTCTGTTAAAATATAAGGTTGAGTAGAGATTCAAAAGGAAACCTATATTGTCTATGCCCCGCCCCCAACTTTTCCTCTATGTCAGTGAGATTTTACACACTGTGGTCTGTTGCTTTGGAGAAGTAAATTATAATGGGCATATGCATCAGACAAGAAAAGTTTGGGTTTATTAGCAACCTGCATTATGAATTCTGACTGCCAGTGTCTATACTGTTGGACACAGTAGTTTATACAACTGTTACTATGCATTTGCCGCAGATTTAACATAATTCATTATTTTAATATCTGAGTCCTTGTAAAGTCTATCTTAGAATTAGCAATCCTAAAGCAATAAGAATTTAAGTGACTTTCCCTAGGTCAAAAGGAAGTCTTTATGAAAGTGGAATTCAAAATCTTAATTCCTCTATCAGAAAATGAAGTGAAACTGAAAATTTCTAAGACTTTCCCTCATGTGTATTTCCCTACATACGAGGTTTTTTTTTTTTTTATTTTATTAAACTGCAGGGAGAATTTGAGTTAGGACTATAATCTTTTGCTTATTCCACGTGAGTGATCCCTAGAATTGGCAAATTCCTAATATTATGATTTTTCTTTTCTCATTGACCCTATTTGTGTGGGTCTAACACACCTTTCCACGGTTAAAAAGATAACAACTACAGAAGCTGACACACAGACTTGGAGAGATCCTTATCTCTTCTGTGGTAATATGATTCCGCTGTGTGACCACCACTCCGGGAAACTTACCTCAAACCCACATATCAACAAGATACTGGATCTTGAATAACAAATGAAGGAAATGAGAGTGAAAAGCAGAGAAAGCATTCTCTTCAATAATAGAAAATCGCTCCTCTAGAGAGGCCTGCCCTCTGTGAGCCCAGTGGTCCCCTACGGACCATCCCCTTTAATTTTGAGAAACGCTTCAGTTCACTGTTTCTCTCAGCAGTCAAGGTCACTTCAGAGAGACAATCTATGATCGCACACTCTCTGGCTATACCTTTCTGCCTTGCCATTCTAGCCAAGTCAGGGGGACAAAGCTGCTCAGAAACAGATGGGCTGCCATGTAGGGGGGGGTCCCCAAACCTTCCACCTTGTTAGGCGCAATTCAGGGAGTCTGTTCTCTCCTCTCAGCTCTTCTGTCTACTCTCTAACACTATTCTTTTTAACTTCCTTTTCTTTCCTGCTCTGAGAAGTTATGATTTAAGAGTGTGGAAATAGAGAAAATGCACTCTATGCGAAGTTTTACAGTATTTCATTGAGATTTTTCAGGCTGACTAATATAAAAGAGCTAGGAATTCATGGGTGGAATGTAGGCTCAAGTCAAAGCAAACTTAAATCCACGTAGTGGGGTAAAAATAATAGTGCTCTAGATTCTAGCTTGACAGCATGCGATTAACATTATCACATTTCTATATGAACAACTTAGTTCTTCAATTAAATAATAAAATTAATTAGCTCTTTAAAGGAAAAGTGACTGTAGGACAGATCAAAGCATTAAAACTTTTTGAATTTTTCCAGTTAATTAAATTCCAATTTTCCAAACACATTCCATGCTTCCTATGGTAAGCTAGCATTTTATTATCAAGTAGTGTTAATACAGGTAAGTTCTAATCTAGAATTAATTTACTTAACATATCAGATTCCTGGGCATACTATCATTAATCTAATTAAACGAAAGCTAGCTTTAGACATGAACCTATATCATAAAAACGGGGTTTGGACTATAGGGAACCCTTCTGTTTATGGATCACGTATCTGTTCATGGCGTTCCATGGACTGAAGTTCTAATGAGACATCATTTCTTCCATGTTAGGTTTCATGTTCCCTGTGTCATTGACATAGTTTATAGTGTAGTTTTGTGATAGTGGTTGTCAATTACCTAATTTTTTTTTCCTAGGCTCTTTTGGAAGCATTTGGCAGTCTGTTTTCTTCGATGTTTCGGGGACATGCTTACAGAGTTTTTTTTGTTTTTTTTCAGTTGTTTAGCGTTTGATATGTGGTATCCTGGCCGTATATATTTTGTATGAATTTTTTGTTTCCAGAGGGGGGTTGGCTTTGTGTTCCTAGTGGGTGTAGATGGGTTTGTTCTCCTTGTGTTCTGTTGTGGTTTTTAGTCCTTTTTGTAGGAGGTACTGCACGGTGTCCTCCTTTTGTGATTCTTTATTGGTGGTTTGGGGTGATATGTGTTGGCTTCACTCGTGGGGAGTCTTGCGCTTTTTTTCTGTTGGTTTCTTCTTTTTTTTGTTGACCTGCATCTTCTCTAGCATTTTTTCGTTTTTACTGGGAATGCGAATTTGGAAGATTTGGTTTTTTGTTGTTTTGTGTTCGCGAACGTGTGTCTCAGTACTTTTTTTTCTGGGTGTCGCTGGGTGTTTGTTTACCTGATTTCGACTCTCCCGGTATGGCTGTGATTGCAAATAGTTTGTCTATAGTCTTTGTTTCTGGAGGTTTCCTGTGTTGTTTCATGCCTTCTCCCTATATATTGTTCTTGTTGTTTTCCTGGAATTTTACTGTTGGTTAGCCTTTTCTCTGGCCAGTGTGTCTTTGTTCTATTTTTATTTTTTGTCCTGTCTTTTTGTTTGGGCCGGGAGTGTGGATTTCGAAAGATCTTTTGTGCTGTTTTCTTTCTTCCGTGGTTCTTCTGCAGCTTTCTGTTCTTTTATTCTTTTCTTTTTGCCTGCTTTTCTTCTCCATGTTCGTTTTTTGGTTTTTGTTAAGATGTCCCAGGAAAACAATTTTTAAGTCTTGCGTCTCAGGTTTTCAAGGCTCCCAGGTTTTTGCGTTCTATTTAATTGCAATTTCTGTATATACTAGTTTTTCACATGTGGCGGGGTGTTATATTGGGGTTGTCCATGGTGTTGTTCTCGGTTTCCTTTTTCCTGGTTGGGTTTTGGTAGTGGACGGCGTTTCTTTTTTTTTTTCTTTTTTTTTTTTTTTTTTAACCCCAGGTTTTTTTTAAATTTATGACAAGTTAATTACCAATTTGAAGGAGCCACAAAAAAAAAAAAATAGTAATGAAGGTTGTTAAATAAAAGTTTAAAATTAGAACATACCAGAATGTAGTAACCAAGCAAGATGCTTTGGGACTGGGCTCTGGTCATATGGTATTGATTGTACCATCATTCCAGCTCCAATCATGGCTGCAAAGGTTGCACCAATTGTCACCCAAGAGCCTCTCATCATGAAGTTCATGAGAACAGGAGTTCTGCTCACTGCCAGGGCGGACAGTGCTGTTAAGCCAATACTCCCTGCTAAGTACATATAGGTAGAATGAATTCTATCCTTCACATACTGAGGCCAAATTACAGCCTTTTCAATAGCTCCAATCTCATTAGACATTCCCAAGCCATAGTAGCACAATGCTCCAAGGCCAACAGCAGCCCCTCCAGCAATAAACCATCTTCCCATCTGATCAATTTTAAATATTTTTTCCACTGATGGTTCCATTGCTGCCTCCTTAAGTTCTTGGCCAGTTTTCCCAGGCCGGATCCCAAATCTTGTCTTGGTGGCATATTGCCGGCTGGGTGTTAAGAGCCATTGATTCTTCGTGATGGAATTCTTCACAATCGGGGAGGCCTTGGTGAAAGCTCGTTGGAAAACCCTCAGTCCCTGGTCACCTCAACCACACAGTTACCCTTCCGGGCCGGCGAAACGCAAACGCGCACACCTCCCTCGACCTCCGCCCGCGCCTTACTGTCTCTGGGGAAGGCGTTTCTGTCATTTCCTCCCAGGCCACTGGAATTTTCTGTCTGCCAGGGCTGATGGGGATCATCCGGGGGGTCAAATGGCTAGAGTCTGGGGAGCAAAAGTAGCATGTGGTAGTAGATGCTAGAGCCCCAGTCAGGCCTGACTGCGTGCCATGGTTAAGAGTTTGGATTTTGTTCTGATTGCAGTTGGAGCCTACTCTGGGTTTTAAGCTGGGAGGGATGTGTGGAGAGCAACATGATTCAGTTTGCGTTTTAAGAATATGCAATGGGAGAAGTAATTAGAATGGGATAGGTTTGGAAGCTAAATGACCACTTAGGAATCTGTTTCATAGACCCGACCACAGATGCTGGGTCGAAGGGGAGAGAGATGGGAGACTGGAAACACAGGGATGACTTCTGGATTGGACGTAACGCATGAGGCTCAAGAGGTTACGAAGATGAATCCTCGATTCTGGCTTGAGTTTCTGCCTGGGTGGTAATGCCATTTATTGAGAGGAGAGTCACGTTGGGTAGAACTTTGCTATGAGTCCTATCCCCATTTTACAGATTAGAAAAATGAAACCTAAAGACGTGAAGTGAAGCACTCCGAAGTCACACCACAAGGACGTGGCAAAACCGGAATTCACACCTGTGAGATCCGACTCCAGAATCCTTGTTTTTAAATATTTTATGTATACCACCTCTCCGTTTACCACATGATTTAGATAAGTAAACAATTCTATGTACGAGTTTGAAATTCAGAAGAGAAGGCTGTGCTGCAGACATAAATTTGGGGGCCATAGGGGCGCCTGGGTGGCTCAGTTGGTTAAGCGACTGCCTTCGGCTCAGGTCATGATCCTGGAGTCCCCGGATCGAGTCCCGCATCGGGCTCCCTGCTCTGCAGGGAGTCTGCTTCTCCCTGACCCTCCCCCCTCTCATGTGCTCTCTCTCTCTCTCATTCTTTCTCTCTCAAATAAATAAATAAAATCTTTAAAAAAAAATTGGGGGGCCAGAATTATGAGGCCAGTTTCAGCGGAGCAAAGACAACAATGTGCATTCTGGGTGGAAAGACGAGGGCATAGATGCAGCAGCGTCCACGGATAATCCAAGTCCATCCCAGAAGGACAGCAAGGGAATGAGCTTTCTTGAAGGGCCCTGGGAATCAGGGAGGTTTTGTTTTGATTTTGTTTTTGGTGTCTGTTTTTAAAGTGGACCAAGCATATTTTGTATGTGAATGAGAACAATTTAGTGGAATATAAGAGGTGTGACCTAGATGACAAAGAATCATTGAAGGAGCAAACCACTCCAAACAGTGTGCAGGTGGAGACAAGATTGAGGGCTTCTGGGTGAAGTTTGGATCTAATTGCTTTTACTTATTTATTTTAACAATGAAGGAGGCAAGTCCATAAATTGAGAGAATGGGCTGAAAGACAGATGGGATGAGATGAGAGGTAGGACTCTGTTTGGCCCCACTCTCTTCACAGGTGTGATTCAAGAGATCACAGTTCCTGAGATGTCATCGTGGTGATACAATCAGATTCCACACAGTGAACACAGGTACACAGACACCCCCCCCACGCACACACCACAATATTACAGCATGGTGAGAAGCATGGTATATTGTCACCCGTATAATGTACCACAGAAAAACCAAAAAAATAATTTCTTAAAAGACTATCAAATTGTACTTTAAAAAAGGAGGGTTCATAACTTTTAAACACTGCAGGTCTGGCAAATCAGGTTTTTCCTGCAGCTCTAGGTACAGTATCACTGACTGAAAAATGAAAAGAACTTTCCCATCATAGAGTCCTTTCTTTTACTTTCCTCTTTCCAAAGATTTCTATCCTGTGGAACAGAATGGATCCATTCACTTCTCAGGGTTTCCCAGAGAAGGCTTGCCTCAGCTCCCCAATGTCTCTAAGAATAATGGTGTCCCACATGCTTTTATTTTCTAAATACATGTAGTTAGCTATCCTGGAATATTATTAGCAAAGATCTATTGGCACTATTCACCCTTCATCACCACACTAAAAGTTATAAAAGGTTGATATGAGTTCTTACGATCTTACCACCTCCTGTATGCCAAATTTAATTATCCTTGACTAGGTCACTGGGGCTTCTTGTGCATCCATATAAGCACAGGTGTGTGTAGAAAAGCACAACTATGTTGTTTCTAAGTGGCAATGTTCAATTCAGTGATTGCCTGGTGAGTGTTGTGTGTGTGTGTGAGAGAGAGAGAGAGAGATACATGGTAAGAGATATTTTTATTCTAACTGATACTTCAACAGTGTCATGATAATCGCACTTGAAAAATATACATAGAGCTTATTACTGGTCTTAAAGGAAAGCAAAAAAACCGACAAATCAGTTCTAATACTAGAAAAATCGACAGCTTAGAATGAGGCATGTTCAAAACATCTCTTCATTAATTTATTCCTTTATTTGTTCGAGAATATCTTTTGGATTCTCAACAACATTCATATTTCCTTGAATAACTTATATTAGTTTAATGAATGAATAAGAGACATTTAATCATTCATTCTTTCAAGAATAGTTTGTGGAACACTTTTCTGAGGCATTTATTTCCTGGGCAGAGTTTGTGTACAATTTATATTTCCACATGAATCGGATATAAACTCTGCCTCCAAATATTAACCAAAATGACAAGAGATGCTCAAAAATAATTTTAATGAAAGTCAAAATAAAAAACACGTCTATGACCATATCTTTCATCTGTTTGTTTTCGAATGTAGGTAATGCACTGGACTCTATGTCAAATGACCCATCTTGATTCCAGCTTCCACAGACTTAAAACTTCACTGAGGAGACAGTTTCTTTCTACCAATACATCCAGTTCAGACACAGTTTCTTAGAGGTGTCTTGTAATATCCAGAAGAAATTTTAGTTGTTCTCATTTATTATTTTAGAGAAACAGTCAATGAGTTGACCCTTTTGGACCTATTTTGCCTCTAGGGATAGAAGATAGAAACAGGACTTCCCCTTGATCTTGGGATCAAGCCCACCCTTCAGCTCCAATAACTGGGTTCCTGCCTTCTTTTTAACCATGGATTCCTTTTCTCTTTGTCTTTTCATATTTTCTAAAACCACCTAACTATGGATGAATCAAGCTGCTTGTAATTTCTATTCTCATGTCTATACCTCTGACCCCTTTTCAAAGAAACCGCTCAGCCTTCCCATTGGTGCTACTCCTGACTGGATGACAGGGGACTCTTAATGCTGTTGCTCAACAGTTTCATTCTATGTCCTGGTTCAGAGTCCTCTGACATGTTCCTTATCATTGATGACAACCCTGACCCGTCCTCCTGAAGGCAGCCTGATGGTCTGTCCCCTCTTACTCTCAGCCAACCATCTTCCCCTGTATTAGAGCTACTTCAAATCTACCCCCACTGTTAATGATGAACTATGTAATAGAAAAAAATCTATAATAAAGGGAACTCTGCTAGAATCTCCCCCCGACACATATGCCTTGGCATTTCTATTTATTCTTAACTCTTTTCCCATCTGGGTGGAAGGCATGTTCTTACCCTTGAAGTTTTACCATTTATTTTCTTGTCTCCTCTAAATATGACTCCACCAATTACTCTGACTTAGCCCCTTGCCAAACCTGTGTAAATACGTCTCACCTCTAAATCAAACTTTCTTAAACTTGTCTCCCTTTTAGCTTTGTCTCTGACTAATTTCTACATCATTTTGCATGTCTCAGACTTGTGACTTCTGTCCTGGAAAGTGTCGCCTGATTTCTCTCTGCTCTCTCTAGAGAGACTCTGTTTCTCTCCCTTCTTCTCGATTTTCCATCTACCTCTGCTCACCCTATTACACTGAAATGATCAGGTTTTGTATCTGTATCCTCAAATAGGCCATGAACTATTAGAGAATGAGTATTCATTATCGGGTACCCATTTTTCAGTCTAAAGCCAGCACAGAAGGCATTAGTTAAGTTCTTACTAAATTGAGCTACACAATCCCTTGTGATTATTTTAAAATTTTTTCAAATGCCCAAGCTAAAACAGAGCTGAAATTGCTCTCCTCCTTGTTGGTTCTATTTTCAACATTACATCAACCCCCAAGGGAAATAATTGATCCAGGGAAACAGAAGTGACATAGCCAGAAGGAATGTCCCAACTTCAAGTAAGGAGGAAAATGAAGGAAAAGAGGAACAACGTGATGGAAAGACATGTGTTTGAGAAATACAAAGGTTGTAATCAAGAATTAATTTCCAAGATAAAATGTTGGAAACCCAAGAACTTAATCAAATAAAGACCCTAAAGAGATAAAAACAGGTCAGGACCAATATGATGGGCAATTGGAGTACATTTGAGGTCCAGTTACCTGAACACAAGATTAAGCCTCAAGATTAAAATAGAGTTGCCTCCTTATTTGTGGTTGTTATTGTGAGTGGTACCATTATCCAACTAGTTTCCCCAACCAGGACTATGAATTCTTATATTTTACCCACCTGTCCTCCTATATCTGATCAACTATCACATCCTATGAATCTAAATATTCCTTTTCTCCAACCCATGCTGCCACTTGAATTCAACACATATTTTATGACCACATGAAAATTTCTTGCCTAATCTCCCTCCCTCAGCTAATTCTCTCCACTGCTTCTAGAGAGGTTCTTCTAACACATACATACAATTGTGTTCAGAAAATTCCATCAGCAGCTCCCTAAAACCTCGTGTGTCTGTGTGTGTGTGTGTGTGTGTGTGTAAAATCTAAACTCTCCATAGTGACAAGCAAGATCCTTCATAATTTGACCCTGCATACTATTTGGACCCACCTCTTATCATTTCTCCTCAAGTACCAGGCTCCAAATTTTAGCGAGACACTTGCTGTCTCCAAAATACCTTATAGGTACTCAAGCTTTCTTTCCTTTGTTCTTAATGTTCTCTCTGCATAGAATGGCTTTTCCATCTTTATCTATCCAAAAGGTTTTTAACTCAATATCAAAGTCTCCATTCAAATTTACCACTTTCTTTAGGCCTTAAATCCCAAGTGAGATGCTATATTCGCTATGTTCCCTTTGACTCTTTTACATTGCCCCCTGACACCACGTGGCACA